TGTGTCTGTACACACACACACTAGCAAGCAAGCAAACAAACAACTTAGTTCCTGCTTAATGGCAGCCTCTTCCATGACTGGAATGAGCCCATGTGTGGAAGGACTATTCTAGACTCAAAACCATTATCAGTGTTCTTCATAGCTCTATTTTTCTGAAATATGGTGCCTGCTTTATTATTTCCCCATGCTGCAATGATTTCTTGAGACAGCAAAACTGTCTCTTGTAATGAAGGGCCTCTGGCAATTCCTGGACTCCCCCCTCCCACATTATCAAACCAGCATTTCCTCCCATAATATGCCCTCAGTTAGTCTCTCCGCCTTTTCTCCTTTGCAATGCTGTATTTGTTCACAATGGCCTATTCTTCCCCCAAAAACGTTTCCAACTGACAGAAGATGGATGACTGCTTTATGGTGACCAATAATGACCCAAAACATTATGGAGGCCCAGACATCTGCACCTTGTGATTGCAGCAGCACACATCCCAGGTGTGCAACCTCAGAGCTTCACCCCAACTCCCTCTGGTAGGATTCTTATGATGTATGACTTGGATCATTGCTTCACTAGCGCCCCAATTTACTGCTTGGCTAATATCTGAAGTCCAGCTTTCTCTGATCAGAAATAGAACTAAGCATGGCCTTTAGGTTTGGCCTCTATTGTTCAGTAAACAAAATTGCATCTTACTACCTACAGAATGCTTGGACACAAGTTGTTACCAATGTGTTAACTGTAATTAACTGTTAGCTGTGCTGTCAAGCCACCTAGAGTGGCCCGGTGGGCCAGGTAGACAGGGTATAAATCAAATAAATAAATAATAAATAAATAATTCCTCCTCCTTTAAGCCCTTTTCCTGCAGAGGAAGCAAAGGAAGAGGAAGCAGAAGAAGAACTTTGTCTGGGAGGACATTTTATTTGGTGTGGGTTTTTTTTTCTAGGCTTGTGGCCTTTTTAGGCTTGCAAGGGTGTGTTTGCTCTGATCTTTGTTCTCCCTGACCACATGGTTTGAGGGGACAGGATTTTAGCTTTAAACAAGCGCTACCAGAAGCATGTGCTTCTGAACTTATTTTTTAGACTTTAATTTGGTAAATAGAAAAGATAAATAGGAATGCATACATCTGGGGGAGCAGGGAAGTTTTAGGGGGAGGATCAGACTTCCTCTCTTTTTAATTCACTGACCAATCAGTTGAGAAGTCACGGGTAGGTGGGGCTCGTTAGCCTTGGAAGGCAGCCCATCTAGGAGAAGCAAAACTACCATTTCAAACCTCCACTGCCTTGTGGCTATATCCACTAATGGAAAAGGCTTTAGGGGTTAACCTCGAGACAAAATTCGGAGCTGGTGTCCCAGAGGCAGTTCGTGACTGTGCGCAGCTCTGGCAACGTTGCTGGAACCAGTTGTATTGGCTCTTGCCTTTCTATTGGACTACTTCAGTGACGTGGAGAGGGGGGATTTTCTGCTTGGATAACAGTCTATCCTCCATATTATTTTACTCAGGCTTCGTGCTCTGGAGAGAACACTCCAGCTTTGCGTACAGCGTCAAAACAACACAGGAAGTAGCAGTTACCGGTTGTAAGTCTTTACTTCATTGGTGTAGAGCATGACACCAGGGGCTACTTTCAACGGTGGAAGAGGTTATTGCACCTCACTAGGTAGCTACCACTCGTCTTAAGCTGGGCAGCCCCCAGCCAGTAAGGTGCTGCCTCTCCATGGCCTGTTAACCTCACGGGGTGGCATGGGGTATAGGGTGAAAGCCGACAAGCAGATTGATAACCCTGCACCATGCAATAATCAGAAGAAAACTTCTGCCCTAAAGTTGGACACCTGGAATGTTCCGACAATGACCCCTGGATTTTCTGAACACCTGCAGAAAAAAGACATGACCCCTGGATTTTCTGAACACCTGCAGGAAAAAGACCGACATGCGCAAGACAGCTGTCTTCAACACGGAACTGAGTAGATTGCGGATAGACGTTGCTGCCCTGCAAGAGTCGAGATTGCCAGACTCAGAATCTGTCAAAGAAAAAAATTCTCATTTTTCTGGAAGAATCTGTCAAAGAAAAAAATTCTCATTTTTTCTGGCAAGGGAAACCATTGAATAAGACCAGGGAATATGGTGGTGGCTTTGCAGTCAGAAATACTCTGCTAAGATCCATTGTTCCACCTACTGCGGGGAGTGAAAGTATCCTGTTTCTGCAGCTCCATTCATCAGCGGGACTGATCACCCTCATTAATGCATATGCACCAACACTGTCGTCCACAACAGAAGTCAAAGACAAATTCTACGACGATCTGGCAGCTACTATCAAAAAATAATAATAATCCCTGAGAGAGAGCCACTGTTTATTCTCTGAGACTTTAACATTAGAGTTGGTGCTGATCAAAATTCTTGCCCCACTTATCTAGGCTGCTTTGGCATTGGGAAGATGAATGAAAATGGCCATCGCTAGCTGGAGTTTTGCTGTTATTATGGTCTTTCTGTCAGCAACACCTTCTTTAATACGAAGCTTCGACACAGAGTCAGCAAGTGGCGGAATTTACCAAGCGCTTGAGGAAACTCTTCCAGGCCCGGCTGTTGCAAATGCACCTGAATGATGGGAACATTTAAAGAATGCTGTTTATAACACCGCCTTGCCCACATTTGGCAAAAAGAGCAAAAGGACAGCAGACTGGTTCGAAGCCCATTCGGAGGAGTTGATGCCAGCCTTCAAGGAAAAGAGGAGAGCTCTTGGAGCATGCAAAGCCTGTCCTAGTGAGTACAACTTGCAGGCTCTTTGAATTGCTTGTAACAAAGTCCAACAGACTGCCAGGAGATGTTCTAACGATTATTGGCTTCAACTCTGCTCTCAGATACAGATAGCAGCAGAGGTAACATCAAGGGAGTGTATGACAGAGTCTATCCAGAACCACAGTATGGATTTTGAGCTAATAGTTCCACCATTAACATGGTATTTTCCCTCTGACAGTTGCAGGAGAAAAGTAGGGAACAATGACAGCCACTCTTTGTGGCCTTGATAGATCTTACAAAGATCTTGGTTTGGTTAGCAGGGATGGCCTTTTTAAAATACTTCCCACGGCAGAGTTGGACACTCTATCAGAAGCACTACGGGAACAACCAAGAGACTATGTAAAACAAAGATGGGGATTAATATATTCCTGGGCCCAGAAGAAGACAGGAGTTTTAGGGTGAAACTTGTGATATACGTATGAACTAATTTAGTATACACTGCAAACTGATATGGGGAGAATAGAGG